TCACCCCTACTAAAACCTATGTGGCTGGTCACGCGGTCATGCCACATATACATACTTGCATATATTTATGGTCAAAATTTGATAAATAGGTGTAGGCCAAACCCGTTACAAGTATCCATTTTATTAGTCAAAGGATGCATGTTCTACCTAAAAACCACATGGCAATGAAGAGAGTAGCCCCTTAGCGTTATAAAGTGGACACAATTTTCTCTTTTATTCAATATGGATACACATATCAAAACTCACTCTCACTTTTACACTCGCCTAATGTGTGACAATACTTTCAAGTCACAAGTGAGTTTAATTTGTTCATAGGCTCAACACTCCCCCTCACATGTGGATTTGTTCATAGGCTCAACACTCTCCTTCACATTTGAGTTGTCCATAATATTGGCCCATATCTGGACTCTGATACCATGTTAAAGAACAAAATTAATTAAAGCTTAAACCGATAGTTAAAAACCATGATCTAAGCAAGTACGGAGTAGCAAATAATGCTTAGATAATCAACAGAAAATAGTGCATACATATTGTGCAAGTGAACGAAGAAAAATATAAAATGATGAATATTAAGTTAAGTGGTTATACACTATCGACCTCACCCAATGAAGCATATACTTCGTTCGGGATTTTTGATTAGACCATAAAAAAAAAAAAAAAAATCATAGTTTAGGCTGGCATAATCTCAAGGGATGATGTTAGACTGTTAGTATGTCTGTGTTGTTCTGATATTGGGTATAAGAGATTTTTTATGGTAGGGTGCACGTTTTAGGGTGTTATAACTGTTATTAATCTTTGTTGCTTTCTGTGAAACAATTGTTGGCTGAAAAATATAAATCATAATATATTTTGTCAGCAGATTTGCGACATTAATTAGACAAATGAGCAATTATAGGCAATATTTATTAGTGTTTTTTTTTTTTTTTTCTAGCTAGCAGGTTAGTGGTTGAGATTTGAGTAACTATTTTATCATGATCAACTAGATCGTGTATTAGTGGTTCTAGTATATTTGAATGGATAAGATGTTGCTTACTCTATGATCTATATTATGACATGATTTTTAAGGTATGTACATGATTTAGGCCAAAGAGACAAGGACCATTTATGTTTGCGCCCCATCAGTTTTAATCCCTAATCTATGTACGAGTATTTTTGATAATGAGGAACTAGAAATGCCACTACTCTACTATCTTAACCTCACTTGATGAACCAATATATATATATATATATATATATATATATATATATATATATATATATATCTTACTTGTTTAAATGACTACTGGGTACCTTTTATAATATCATTTCAATTTTATCAGATGTCACCGAAGAGATGAGTATCTTTTATAGTAGGCTTTTAAAGTATTTTTTTCATGCAAGAATCATAATATATACTGTAGTCATTAACTCATTACATCATCCCCAAATGATTGGTTTATTTTACATTATTTGTGAACATTAATTTTGATTTGATAAATTTATGAAATTGTGGTCCACCCTATTGATTAATTCATAGCAAGTATACACCCTTAATACTATCTCTTGCTTACTTGGTAACTTCCAGCTAGTATTGATAACCATATTTCAAGTTTCATTGAAAAATTCACGATAGTTTTCTACCAAATATTTCACCAATGTTAGTGATATGACTTTATTCCTATCTTAGTACATGAGATTTCTTTGGACAGATCATATAAGTAGAAAATTTCAAACCCCAAACTGTGACATACCAATCATCATTTTTAATTATTTGTATTAATTCATCATTTAATTATATATATATTTTTATAATTAATTTTACAAATGGCAAGAAAGACTTGTGATAAACCATATATGTTTTTGACAATTGTCTTCGGCAGCCAATTCTTCTCATTAATTAGTCAGCCTTATTATTATTATCATCACATAATACCCAATGTAATGCCCATTGACTTCCATAAAGTATGATTAGATTCCTCCTTAATTATCTAATCATTTTACAAATTATTTTGCCACATAAACAGTCTACCACAATTCGGTAAGTTCCGATATGAGCATACCCGTATTGATTATTTTTATAAGCAATTTATGTTAGTTTCTCGATTAACCTACTTTTATAGGGAATGTCACATATTGCTTTTCTATATACTTTCGTAATGTTATTTCATTATCTAGTAATTTCACTTTGAGTTGTATATTTGTCACGTATGCATAACTTTGCTCACTAATTTATTTAAAAATCATTTAGGTGTAAATTTTTTTTTTAAAAAAAAAAAAAAAACAAAAAAAAATTGAACAAGTATATCTAAACAAACACAAACTTTTATATGTGACTGGCCACACCGTGTAACCAACCATTATGGGAATTACTTTGTTAAGTGTTATAGGGGTTACTCACTCGGTCAAGGATTACTTTGTGGATCAGGGGTTACTTGGTCGGTTAGAGATTGCTCAGTCGGTCAGGGGTTACTTATTCGGTCAGAGGTAGTTGGTAAGGGGTTACTCGGTCAGGGGTTACCCGTTAGTTAGGGGTTACTTGGTGTATGTTAACTTACCACACGGTGTGGCCGCGCCAGCCGCACACAAAAGTTACTGTTGGACAAATACAATAGCTAGTATTTTACATGATATTTATTTGTTTCTATTATATTAGAAAAGAAATTATCAAAGTAAAAATTTTAGTGGTAAAGTCAAAGTGTTACTATTACAAAAAAGTAAATACCCTAACAAAGACAAATACAACAAAAATAACAAGATATCCTTTATACTTCCACAATCTTTATGCGAAGTAGCTTTTCAAAACCGATAAAATATATCCTAAGTTGTATATAATACTTTCTCTGTTCTAGTAATATAGCAACAATTGGATTTTTACAGTATTCATCACGCTTGTTTGACCATATATTATGATTTATACGTAAAGTAAAATATAGTCATGTGGGGGTCTTGTTAGATTCGTCTCGTAAAATACTTTCACATTATCAACTTTTTATAATTTTTACTCTTATATAATTATAGATATAGCATATAAAATGTGCTTTGGAATGCGTAATTTCATCCTTGTTACAATATTTGTAAAACAGAGGAAGTATGCATTATAATAAAAGAGTATATATTAACAAGAATCGTTAAATTTTGATATTCCTTTCTTGGCTCCCAATAGTTATTATGTGTACCATGGTGCACCTAGAAATAGGTGCACCACGCCTATAATATAAATATTTGTGCACCACGCCTATAATATGAATATTTAGTAAAAAAAATATGAACAATTTATAAAAAATGAACATTTAGTAAAAAAAATATGAACACTTCACAAAAAATGAACAAAAATATCCAATTTTATATGTTCATATTTTATAAGGAAATGTTCATTTTATATGGACTAAATGTTCAGTTTATGTTACAAAACTATTGAATTACAAAACCATAGTGCATCTTATAATTTGCGCTCGGCTCCCTCGAGATAATCGAACTTGGTTGGATCAAATAAGTATTTAGGATGATGTTATCCTACCAACTACTAAGAGCCTAGTGCCCTGATAAATCATAGATTAAATATAGCTATGAAGTTAATTGAACGTATGCTATACTTAATCACGTTGCCTAGCTAGTTTGACTAGATCAGGAAAAAGCTAGCAAGTGAGCTGTACTATATATTGTGAATTTGTGATTTCTTATTGACTTATTGTTTAGTATTGAAAATTTGGTTGCTTTGTTTCGTGAATTTGGAATTGCCTCATTCATGAATCTAAATACATGGTGTTTGTTAATTTATGATACTCCACTATGTCACATAAAACTTGCCAAGGGCGTAGAATTGGCACTGTTCGTGTTGGCATAGGTTGGCATAGTTATGGCCTTATATATGGGACCACCATGTCTAGGATTTGAATTGGCTAGGCATGGCTAATCTCGGTCCAGCCCGAGACCCTCAGGTCCTGTCGAGCTGTCGGGGTGGCCAAGGGCCTAACCCAAGGACCAACATGTTTCACGTATTATAAAAGTCGGGCTCGTGAATTAGCATTTTACACAAGTTTTAAAGTTGATGAAAATTGGTCAAGTGGTCTCAGGTCACAATATGCTTATATGCTTTTTATTGTTTAAACTCGTATTATTGATTTTTCATATGAAACGTAGTACATGTTTTGTACAAAATAATACTTTATATTTACAAACTCATAAAAAGTTTGAATCGAAAATGTTAATCAAAGATTAAGCAATAATTCATAATAACACCAATCATGCATGATTTTGACAAGGATTCCTACAAGTTCCAATAATGTAAGAAATTTATATTCTACATAAGTAATACGAGTACTAATGCACATATCATTATTCATTGTTTAGGTTTTGTTTGGGTCCAAATTTGGTGCATGTTTTAAAATTTTCTATGATGTATATAAGTAATTGATGTATATAAGTAATACGAGTAATTACATTCCTATCTTGCTGACATGGCTTAAGTTATGAAAGGGGCTTCAAGTGCAATAATGTGTTGGGTACATATTTTGTGCCCAAACATTCGAGTCTTGCTGTTAATTGTATTTGGTGAGGTTGTTTTTTCCTTCTGTTAGGGTCTTGAATGTGTTTTGCTCTTATAAATGACGTATTAGGGAGTGTTACGTTGTTATTAGCTACGAGTATTTGTAAATTGTAATTGTATGTTCCTTAAGATATATAGTGTGTTTTTGTTGTTTTTCTATCTATCATTCTTTCATCTGTCATAACACTTTCCTCGATGTCAAAAAAGCTCATGTAAAATGAAATTGATTTATAGCTTATATACTAGAGATTATGATATACAAGGTATACATAACTTTCAATTATAAACATATTATAGAATTGAACTACCCTAGAAAGATAAAGTACAATTGTGTATATCATACATAACAAACTTAAAATTTTGTAACTCATCATTACAAACTTAACAAGGTAACGATCCAAAAATGTTCATCCCTAAGAATTGATGTACAAAATCTAGTAGTTTGTGCCTTTTTGCTTTCCTTAAATTTGTCCCTAACTTCCCATCTTCCTCTATTAAACCAAATGAGGCAAAATAACATTGATAAACAAAGGAAAAACAAGGACAAATATAAGCACAATCCCAGCCACAATGGCAATGCAGTACCACTTCCTTGAGTTCTTTTGCTGCTCTCTTGCCTCCACAAGTTCATCAGTTCCACGCCTCACGAAGGAGCTTGCATGAGCAACGTGGCTTTCGATGTTATTAAGTTGTTGTCCTTGAGCCTCAACTAAAGCAGCCATGTCAAGAAAGACTTGGTGAAGTTCAATCAAATTCTTCTCAATCTCTTTCACAGCATCATGCCTTTCTTGGAGCTCCGATATTATGTCTAGCATCTGCCCTCTTCCTTGATCTTGTATTGCCTTTTGGAGGAAGTTTTCACTCTCTCCACTCTCGATTAGGTTCTCAATCATAGTCTCATCTGCCTTCTCTCCGGTTATAGTAAAGTACCTAAGAGAAGATGAATACATTAATATTTTACTTTCTCTATTTCCTTAAAATGAAGTAATTTTACTTTTTAATATTCATATACTAAATCTAACCACATGCTTTATGAATATAATTATTACAAGTTTGTGCATTTTATAAGATGATAGTTTAATTTTTAGTTTACTACTTGTACCTTCTCTCCATAGTTTCTTTGTACTCAGATTGCATTTTCCCTCTTAGGGCTTGGAAGTTGTCCATCATGTCCTTAAGCTTCTTCCCTAGGCCGCTTACCACCGATGTTCGGGTCCTATCAGCTGAGGACCCCGGTCCACAACCAGGCACGTTACGAGCTTGTGCATTAGATTTGTCTAGGGCTTCAAGTTTACCCTTGACGATCTTCACCTTTTTAAGTACTAAAGCCACATCCGAGTCCATCCGTGCACGAAGCTCCTTCATGGTCTTGGCATTGTGGACAACCCTACTTTCTTCGTTCGAGTCTTGGAGCCTCTTGTAAAGCCTCTCCACCTCCCTCATGTCTTCCTTTACCCTCTCCACATCGTCGAAGAACTTGTCAAGGTTCATACCCCTTGTACCGGATTCCACATCGTATTTGAAACCTTGTTGATCAAATTCCGAGTGCTTCTTAAAAGAGTTTGAAAATAGGTCATTCATTTTCGCTTTTATTTCCTAGTTAGTACTGATATGTTATCTTAGCCAACACTAATATGTTACAATTCTTTTGTTAGAATTCAAACAATATATATTTTCTTCTTCCTAATGATCGAATACAGTGAAGACGAACCTTAATTGAAAATTTAGGTACAATTAGCCTCTTCATCATATGAAGAGAAAAAAAAAACTGTGTAAAGAAAAATTAATCACCAAAGTTAAAATAATGGAGAAAGTTTGTTAAAATGTTTGCTTCTTTTTGGGGTATTGGGGAAAGAAGAAGGTAAAAACTATTAACGGTTGTAGTTCATAGGTGTTTAGGGCCATACAAAATTCATCCCATCGGAAAAAAAGGATGGTTTAAAATGATACATTCCTTAATTAGGCTATCATGGAGTATATAAAATCTTCCATGCCTATCATGGCAACGATTCTTTCAACTCCACTGTCCATAGTTATTCTAGATTTCTAGCTAGCTAGCCTTAATGTTAAAGGTCTTATTGTCCTAATTCATTTTTCACGGTTTTTATATACTTAATGTTAAAACTCGTCTTAAATCATTAATTATTCTTTCATGTATGCGAAATAAAGATTTTATATACTCCATATTTGATGATCTAAAAATTGTAAAGTTTGACCTAAGAGGTGGTGTCATCAGGCCAACTTTTTCAACAAAGGGAGTATTACTAACCCAAGATGGCCTGGGTCTTTCGAAATCAATGACTTAGCTTGATCATATGACCAACTTGTTTGTTACTAATACAACTTACTTGCAAATAAAAACTAAATTACCAAATGAAGAACATTAATTCTGAATTTCTGATCCATACATACATATTGTTTGCAATTACAACCAAGATTTATTCCTGGAAAAAGCCATGAGCAAATCAACAATAATTAAGACGGAATATATCATTTTGCACAAAGTAGCTCCCTTGCGTTGTTGGAATCAAATGAAACATCTGCATCAAAATACATCAATCAACAAACAAATTACAATGATAATAATACTTAACTGCAATTAAACTAGTGCATGCAACCGATTAGGCTAGTGTGGTGTAACAATTACACTTAATATCAATCTTTTCTTTCTTTATTTTCCATATACCCCTGCCCCTACTTTACAGGGGTTGTAAGAGAGTATGTGGTGCAACAGTTGTATTATATAATCTATCTTTTCATAATAATCCCTATATAACCAAAACCAATATAAAGAAGGATATATTTAGCGAAAATAGTTTATCTAAAATTTTTTTATAGTGAACAATAGTGTTATGATATAAGGGATATATACAAGAAGTATGGTAATTTTTACTCTAAATATTTAGGACGACATTTAACATTAACAACTTCAAGAACTTAACTACACAAGTGATCATGCGTAGAATTAACAAGCAAAAATTGGAGCTACCTGGCTAAATCGTAGCTGATGCTCTTCTCCAGCCAACTGCAAACTACCACTCACAAAGACGATTATACCTCCATTGATCGATGAAGGTTGAGTATCAATGGTGCTAATCGAATGGAGACATTGATTGAATGGCAAACTATTGATCTTGTTAGATATTTCCTCTACACCTTGAAACTTTTGTCCTTCAAAAGTGAGCAAAGAAGTTGGTTGATAAAGAGAAATAAGAGAAGGACGTTCATTATCAAACAAATTGTAGTAATGAATTACAAATGATGTTCCTAACCCTTCATAATCTTCCATTTTTTTCTCTCTTGGTTACAATGTATTTCTCTTTGAACTATATTCTTAATGGATACTAATATATAGAGGGAATAACATAACTTTAGCATAATTTTTTTTTTATTCTCTTTTTTTTAAAGAATATTTCTATAATGCTTAAGCAAAGCATAAAATGTGTCTAATGCGGCATACAAAGATACTTCAAGGTGGCATGGGACTGCTTGTTAGCTTTAGGAACATCCAATTTTACCATGTAGCCCCCTTGAGTTATTAGATGGTTATGAGGTTTTTATTGTACTCCCTCAAGTCCCGCCACTCTAGAATATAATTTTATAAGTTGTGCTAATAATTTTCTTTGCTAGAAAGAGGTAAGTTTATCGAAATAGCCGATGTAACATTGACTTTTATCATTTGCTAATATCAATACAATATAAAAAGTTATTTTAAAATATTAATTAATAATCGTAATTCTTTTACAATACCAATTTACCAATGGAATGTAGCTATAACATAGAATGTATAACTAACTAAGATGATTTTTCTTTTTAGTAGAGGGCATTCATGGAATTGTGCTTTAAAGTTGGATGAGAATTGTCTGCTGTGGTTCTACGCAAAGCTACAAATCTGATAAAGGGAAAGAGGCAAAGAGCATCCTTTTTTTGCATTATGCATTAGCTTTTCCTTTGCTGAAACCTATTTAATGTTTACAATTAGTTCCATCCTCTTCCTATTGGGCTATTGAAGAGTTCTGTAACCCATATATTGTGGTTATTACTACTTATTATTGGGTTTTATCTCTATTTTTTTTGTAAGAGTTTGGGTGTGAGTAAGGTTTTTTTTTTTTTTCCTATACAAATTGATGAATTAGTAAGGACTTACTTGAAATTGTAGCAAATGTACAATCAATTGAATCAGATCAAAACCTACTTTAAAACAATTATCTAAAAAGGAGTAGGTTGAAAGATTTAGGGAATGTTTTCCTTCCCTGTATTCCTTGGAAAGTCAGAATATATACATACATTCAAGCCTATCATTAGGCGTCAATTAAGCTACAGATAAGGTAACTAAATAACAACTTTGACTATACAATATAATTCAAATATATCCTATATTTAACACACCCCCTCAGTTGAAGCGGGAGGTCCGCGGACATTGAGACTGTCCCTAAAATCTTCAAATAATACTAGGGGAAGGCATTTAGTAAAGATGTCAGCTATTTGATGTTGTGAAGGTACGTGAAGCACTCGAACTTGACCATGAGCAACTTTTTCCCTGACAAAATGAATCCATTTCTATATGTTTCGTCCGTTGATGCTGAACTGGATTACCTGATAAATAAATCGCACTTACATTGTCACAATAAACAAGATTGGCCTTTTTAACCAGACAATGCAACTCCAAGAGAAGGTTCTGAAGCCAACAGGAGTCGGAAACAACATTCGCCACCCCACGGTATTCTGCCTCTACACTCGATTTCGACAATGTAGGTTGTCGTTTTGTCAACCAAGACACCAAATTGTCACCCAAAAATACACAATAACCAGAAGTAGAACGCCGTGTGTAGGGGCACCCACCCCAATCTGCATCTGTATATGAGACCAGAGTAGAAAAAGAAGATGGATATAAATGGAGGTCGTACTCCAATGTACCTTGAACATATCGAATAACCCTTTTTAGAGCAGTCATATGATCAACTCTAGGATCATGCATATGTAAGCAAACCTATTGAACAGCATAAGAGATATCCGGCCTAGTAAAAGTAAGATACTAAAGAGCCCCTGCAAGACTCCAATAGAGAGTGGGATAGTCAAATTTAGTACCAGATGTAGCACTAACCTTTGACTTCGTATCAACCGGAGTAGGGGATGGTTTACACGAGGACATCCCTGCTCGCTCAATTATCTCCTCGGCATATTTCCGTTGAGATAGAAACATACCTCCATTATTTCGGGTCACAGCAATACCCAGAAAATAATTCAAAGGACCAAGATCCTTCATAGCGAACTCGGAGCTAAGAAGATCCATAATAGAACAACGGAGAATATCAGAAGAGGCAGTGAGAATTATATCATCAACATATAGTAAAATGTATGCCATATCAGACTCCTTACGATAGATAAATAATGAATTATCCATTGTGCTGTTAGTAAACCCAAGATATAAAACATAATCTGCAAAACGCTTATACCAAGCTCGGGGGGCTTGCTTAAGTCCATATAATGACTTACGCAAGAGGCAAACATAATCTAGCTGGTCACGATCCCTATGACCCAAGGGTTGATGCATATAAACAGTTTCCTGTAGCTCACCATGAAGGAAGGCATTTTTGACATCCAATTGATGAATTGTCCATGCCCTTGAAAGAGATAGACTGAGAACAGTACGGATTATAGCTGGTTTCACCACCGGACTAAAAGTCTCACCACAATCAATGCCAACCTGTTGAGTCTTGCCATCACCTACAAGACGGGCTTTATGGCTCACAAAATCACCATTAGATTAACTTTATGAGTAAAAATCCACATAGAACGAACCACATTCATATTCGGAGGACGGGGCACCAACTCCCACGTCTTATTTTTAATAAGAGCATTATATTCATCATCCATGGCCATTTTCCAATTTGAGTCTCGAAGAGCTGCTACCGGATTTCGAGGTAATGGTGACCTCTCAACCGTAACATGCATGGAATATTTTTATTAGGTTTAAATATGCCATGTTGGCTCTTGATCACGACTCGAGACTTCTGGAGGGGAATATTTTGTGGAGCAGAAGTAATGGTGTCTCGTGTGTGCGTTGTGAGGTTGGAAAGGAAGAGATCACTCCCTGGGTCAATAGGGGAGGATGGCCCAGCTGATGTTGGGGTCTGCTGAGTGTGAGGCTACGGAGATGCGGCCTGCCCAGCGTGGGAGACCAGCTGTTGGGCTGGTGTGTCCCTAGGCCTAGTTGGAATAGTACATCCAACTAGTGGGCTGAAGCTAGACGGTACAGGAGGAGGAGTTTGAGTAGTTTGTGGAGCAGAATTTTAGAGATGATGCATAACATCAGGTGTGAGACCATCATCAAGAAAATCATATGAGTGGGATTTCGGGGTATGCACAGTAGCAAAAGGAAACACATGCTCATCAAATAATACATGGCGACAAATAATTATTTTACGGGAAGACATATCATAACACTTGTAGCCACGATGATTAGACGGATATCCTAAGAACACACAAGGAGTAGACCTTGGTTGCAACTTATTGATAGTGGTGGAAGGAATAAGCGAATAACATAAACACCAAAAAACCAGGAGATGATTATAAGAAGGATTTCTTTTGTAAAGAACCTCAAAAGGAGACTTGTTTCCCAATAATTTACTTGGAAGCACATTAAGAAGATAGGTTGCCATTTGAAGAGCATGATGCCACAAACTAGGGGGAAGAGAGGCATGAGCCAAGAGAGTACGAGTGATATTGTTAATCGACCGAATTTTTCGTTCGACCTTCCCATTTTGAGATGACGTGTGAGGACAAGAAAGGCAAAATGACATGCCGTGAGTTTTGCAAAATTCCCAAAATGGACCATTATCAAACTCCCTACCATTATCACTTTGCATATGTTTTATATTATGCTCAAATTGAGTTGAAATATGGGCTTTAAAGGCTAAGAAAATGTCATATACAACCGATTTTCGACCCATAGGAAAATTCCATAAATATTTAGAAAAATCATCAAGAAATAGAACGTAATGTTGATGTCCCGAGGAACTCAAAATAGGAGATGTCCAAAGATCACTATGTAAAATATCAAATGGCATAATAGTATTTGACAAAGAAGAGACAAAAGGCAACTTAATATGTTTTCCAGTAACACAAGATCCAAAAATACTAGAGCTAGAGAATTTAGTACAATCAATGCTTTTATTTTTCCTAAGCACATCTAAGATAGAAGTCCTCGAATGACCCAACCGATCATGCCATAGCGTTGGTGAGATGGCAGCAAAAGCAGAGAAGGAAGCTTGATTGTTGAGACTAGAGGAAATAGGATAAAGATCTCCACGACTATCATATCTCATTATTGACATCCCTGTCCGATAATCCTTCACAGAAAACCCAAAAGGATCAAACCCTACTAATCACACAGAATTATCAGTAGTAAACTTTCGAACAAAAATTAGATTTTTAATCAATTTATGAGCATGAAGAACATTGTTTAGGGCAAGAGATTGACATGAGGATGACAAATTTGTGTGACCATATCCTAAAATTGGAATAGTGTGACCATTACTAACAATAATATTATTATTAAAATGATTGCTCAAATTAAATAAGACGAGAGATTACCAATAGAGGAGGTCATATGAGATGTAGCACCGGTATCCATGTACCATGACGGATCGGGTTGGTGAAGAGACATGGTGTGCATTGTCGCCTCTATATTCGTAGGAGCATACAAACTAGTCTGCCCAATTGGATTTGGTGCTACTTGCTGAACATAGGCCTACTGAGGTTGTGGGCCCAACAGGCTAGCATGTCGCATGTTCGGACCTTGTGGTCTGGCCCACCCCTGATTTGGGTATGGACAAGGGGGTACCGCCACCATCCCCAAGGATATGGCTGCTAGAATTGTTGGGGTTGCTGCTATTGTTTCGGGGACTAACTTGCGCCACCGTGGCCACCAGAGGACTGACCTTTGCCACCACCTTTACCGCCAGCTGTGTTGCGACCACCACCACAAGAATTCGTATTTTTTCGGCCACCATTGTTGTGTCGGCCAGAACCTTGTGCACCAGTTTTTCCCTTGAAATTTGAATGACCTGATTTCTCTGTATGTTGCGGACTATCATCATTCGAAGTAACCACCATTGCAGACTCGGTGGCTGCCTCCTTAGCCATACCGGCTTCTTTAAGAGTGAGCACGGAGCGAGCTTTGTAAAAGTGGGGAAGAGGGTTACTTTGACGGATCAACGTACCGACCCCGTGGTACGGTCTTGTAAGTCCTCCAACCAACTGTAACACCATTCTACTGTCGGACATCGGAGCCCAACATTCTTTAATTGATCCGCTAGAGATTTGAGACGTTGGCAATAAGAAGAAACATTCGGGAAATCCTCCATAGACGTAGTGGAGAATTCTTGTTACAAAGCCACGGCACGAAAATGTTCATTATCTTGGAATATGCCACGCAGCTTATCCCAAGCTTCCATAGCCGTAGAGTCGGGCTTAATAATGGTGTTCAACAAGTCACTAGAAATAGTGGCATAAATCCACGAGAGAACTGTGGCATCCAAGGTCGTCCATAGTTCCTTCTTCGCATCTGTAAATGGAGGAGGCTGCTCCTTGCCCTTGGCCGGAGGAAGACCTTATGAGATTTTGCGTGAACCTTAAATAGTTCCGCCCATGTAGAGTATTGAACATTTTTCATCTCAAGGTGATGGAAACATGATTCTTGATATTAGGAACGGCAAGAGCCGGATGGAAGGATGATTTTGAGTCCCCCATGGATGATGCCGATGAGAAAAAGAAAAGGAAGAAAGGTAGAGGAAGAACAGAGGGGCGGAAAAATAGAGTAGCTAGAGTGCAGCGGAATAGAGAGGATCGTACCCTAGGCTAACTGATGCCATGAAAGATTTAGGGAATGTTTTCCTTCGTTGTATTCCTTGAGAAAGTCAGAATATATACATACATCCAAGCCTATATTAGGCGTCAATTAAGCTACAAATAAGGTAACTAAATAACAACTTTGACTATACAATATAATTCAAATATATCCTATATTTAACATAGGTAGAACTCTTATTGGTGGTTTGGTAGTTTATTTAGGGTTGATTCACGCCCTACAATGATCTAAAAGTGAGTATGTAAACATTGGTCATGTATGCCCATATGACGTGCCAATGAGGCTCGTGATCAAACAGGGTGTGTTTGATTGGAATGAACCAAGAAAGAGTTGTGAAATGTGACATGTCGATCACTTAAAAATGAAGCCCATGCAAGCCCGATCCACATGATGTATCATGCTTGGCCGAGCCAATTAGCTTTCTAATTTATAATTTTTATATTTGGTAAATCGATTAAAAGTATAAGCGAGTTGAACACGTGCCAAATTTTAGAAATAATATTCATGCACAATTAGTGACTATATATAGGTACAACTCTTTACTCATCCTTCTTCACCGGTGATTTTGATGCTTGGATGGTGCGCAACCTAGAAGCAGAAGGTCTTGTATTCTCGGAGAAGTGGCCAACAACATTTGCTACCACTTTATGGTGGCTATGGAGATGGAGAAATAATGCTTTGTTTCGTAGTAGCGAAGCAATCCCAGCTGATGTTGGCTCCTTTTTACGAAACAAAATTGTTGAAACTTGGAGTGTTTTTTTTGGAGAGCACAACTTAAGCTAGCAGAAATCAACACCTCGAGGCTAAAAGAGGGAGACTTTTATCATATGGTTAGCTCCCCCTACAAATTGGTATGCTTTAAATAGTGACGGGGCCACAAAGGGGGCATCAGGGCTAACTGGAGGAGGAGGTATTTAGCATGACTGCACAGGTAAGTTTGTGTGATGCTTTAATTTGCAGCCAACTATGGTATATGCACAGCCTACAAAGCCAAGCTCCTAGCTGCTGAAATGGGACTTAAAATGGCGAGTACTTTGGGCATTTCAAAGCTAGTGTTGCAAATGGACAACCAAGCTTGTATTGAAGCTATGAAGGATCTCGAACACATTGGCGGTGAATGTGTTCACATTTTAAAAAATTATCGTAGTTTAATTAGCTTTCTTGGTTGTAATTTTAAAGTTGTTTTCTGTTTTAGAGAGGGTAATAGGTTGGCGGACGGGCTTGCTAATTTGGGTGTTTGGCTTGAAGAAGGGGTAGTTTATTTCGATACGCCTCCGATCGAAATAAAAGCTCTTCTAAAGGAGGATACCATAGGAGTGGCCTTGCCACGTTTTATTATGTAATCAATTATATTTGTTGAATAAATGGGCTTGGCCCTCGTTTGCATAAATAAAAAAATAAAAAAATAAAAAAAAGTGACTATAGGTGTCAGAAACTAACCCGATTCGAAATCGCCCCGTAAAAAACCAAATTCAGATCTCTACTTGAATGGACATAATAATTTAACATGACTCAACTTTAAAACAAACTCAATCTGACCTGACCCGATCTGATCCAAATACCTGAATTGATACCTCTACTTGTTACCTACAACCGTTTCGGGTCGACCCATTTTCGTGCGTGCCAACTCAACTCGTCTCCTCATCAGTGAGTCAACTCACCATCTTGACTTGTAAAACCCCCATCCTCAGTCCACCCACCATCCCTAACCTCACTCTCAATTTCGCTGCGATCCATCCCCCCCCCCCCCAAATCTCCCACTTTCCCCCAACAATGGCGCTACCCCATCTCACCACCACCATCTTCCTCCTCTCCCTCCTTCTCTCTCTCTCCTCCACCACCCCCACACCAACCGACGACCTCATCTCCGAGCTCCAACACCTCCAATCCGCCGCACCCAACGGCGTCCTCCGCCTCACCGACCAACTCCTCGGCCGCATCCTCTCCCTCCCTCGTCCTCGCCCTTTCTCTCTCCTCATCTTCTTCGATGCAACCCAACTCCACGACAAATCTGAACTCCAACTTCCAACCCTCAAATCTGAATTCTCCATTCTCTCTAAATCATTCCTCCATAACAACAAAGACTCCCCTGATTCCCAGAAACTCTTCTTCTGTGACATCGAATTCAAGGATTCTCAACGATCTTTCAGCTTATTTGGGGTTAATTCACTACCCCACATTCGCCTCGTTTCGCCCCATGTCGAAAATCTCAAGAACTCGGATCATATGGATCAGGGTGACTTCTCTCGACTCGCTGAATCAATGTCCGAGTTCGTCGAGTCAAAGACCAAACTCACTATTGGCCCTCTTCAACGCCCACCCATGTTCTCTGGTAAGCAGATTACCTTCTTCTTAATCGTTTTGATGATTTGGGCACCTTTTGCTGTGAAAAAGATTCTAGCAGGTCAGACATTGTTGCATGATTATAAGCTATGGTTGTTTAGTGCTATATTTGTATACTTTGTTAGTGTTTCTGGGACTATGCATAACATTATTAGGAAGATGCCAATGTTTATAACTGATAGAAATGATCCTTCAAAGTTGGTGTTCTTTTACCAAGGTTCTGGGATGCAATTGGGTGCTGAGGGTTTTGCTGTTGGGTTTTTGTATACTGTTGTTGGTTTGCTTCTTGGGTTTGTTACCCATGGACTTGTTAAGATTAGGAGTGTCACCTTTCAACGGTTTGCAATGGCCGTGGCTTTGATCGTCTCGTTCTGGGCTGTGAAGAAGGTTGTGTATCTAGATAACTGGAAGACTGGGTACGGCATTCATGCTTACTGGCCTTCGAGCTGGTGATCGAGGTGATGGTAATCGATATTTAGTGTTGAGGAAATGTTGGTTGCTAAGAACATTGTGTTAGATTGTAACCATGACGATTTTTGTTATTGCTCGGGACATATACATGGAATGAAAACTTCTAGTTATAGTTTCTTGAGTTGTGCCTCCTTTGATTGATTTTGTTTGGTTTATGGCTTATACTACAGATTTTTATTTAGCTTATTCATGTGTTATGGATGCCATATCATTAGTCTATACATTTACTTTACTATGTTGAAATCATCGGATTCATGGATGGAATTGGTGTATGAGATTAGTCTTGTTTATATGGGTGCTCCAGTTATGGTTGATAATGCACTGACTAGTAACTACCTAATGTGGTGATTTCATCAATCATTGGAATTATGATTAACAGTGTGCTAACTAAAAGAGTGAGAGGAATTTAGTGTATCTAAGATTGGGTGTCTGTGTGCATGTAATGTTCAAACAACACACAACCACACAATGTAGGGTTCCATTGATTGATGGATTGATGGATATTAAGTGAGTTATGGCATAAATAATCTGCACAATAGCTGCTTATCTATAACTTGAAGCATGTTCCCTTCATTGAACATGAAGTGGATTGGATTATGGCGGAAATCTTCTCACTGTTGGGGCAGTGTTTGAAAAAGCGCGCCTAGGCGCTGAGGCGCAAGGCGATTAGGGGTGAGCGCTTAATTAGGTCTGGGCGAGGCGTTTTGGGTTAGGCGCACATGAGGCAAACTTCAGCCAAAATTTTTTAACTGCCCATATACTGCGCCTCACTTCACAGAGGCGCACCTAGGCGCAGCAAAACCCCTCTCGCTTAGCGCCTAAAGCTTTTTTATACATTGTGTTGGGGCTTGTTTATTCTTATAGTAATGAATGGTCAGACTAGTACACTTGATAGGATGATATACCTCAGGAAAGAAATGAATTCCTGGTGAATAATGTACCATAGTTTGATCATTGCTGTTCTTTTTATGGTTTCCTTGGCAAAAGATTGCACACTCAAACTAAGTAAGGGGTCCATTTGAATTTGCAATTTGAAATCCCTTTGTCAGCATTCTTCCTACGTGTATCTTAAAGTAGGATAGAGAATTAGAGATGAGATCCTCTGAATTGTAATTCACTGATGTCCCTTGTTCTGTAGCTTTTGTCCAGTAGTTTTCTTTGAATTTGAAAGACAAAAGTTTTCATGGAAGCACATTTTGTTTATCCAACATTGTGGAAATTGATCAGGAGTTTCTAGTTTTGAAAGACTTCTATTTGTTGGTTTAGTTATGTGTGAATTAATGGGCAGAAGATTTTCGAAATTAGGATGTTATCTATAATGAGTTTGTTAGGCATTACTTTTGCTGCAAAAAATCTTCATATAAAGGTCATGTTTCCACACTTCGGAAACATATCGTATCAGCAATTCTTGGGGGCACTCAGGCACGCCTCTTTTTAGATTACTGATCGTTACCGTAGGTTCTTGTCTTTCAGACCTTTAGATACCCATAATCCCACCTTTAATTTATACCTATCTTTTGAAAGGAAGACAGTTTGTATGAGAATGAGGTATTTGATCGTAAGGGATAGAAGAGGAAGATTTTTGTGGATGACTATATGGAATAATCACCTTTGGTTCATGTAGCCGACCTCACTTATGGGATTAAGACTTTGATTGATTTGAAAGGAAGACAGTTATGAGGTTCATGTCTTAAGGTAATAGATGTTCCTCCCCTGTCTTTCCAGAAGCTCATTATCTAACCAAGAATGAAAGAAAAATTTAAATCATCCTCAGAAATAGCAAAGGACCTAAAGAATCTGAGAGGTTAATGCGATGTACACAACTATGGCACATCTTTTATCTAAATCTTGACTATTTTCAGAGAATAATGCACAAAGTCATGAAGAAAGATTAAGTTTAGCTGTTAAGATCTCACTAAACCTTTAATTCCTACTGAAAAATTACCTTGTGTTTTTTATTGCCACATTTGTGCAGTTTTCTATATCCAAGTGTTTCGAATTTTACCTTCTGCTCCTGTTTCCATATCCATGCAACATTAGGAGTTGCATCTACAAAGAGATGCTTTATGTTGTAGGACTTGTAGCGTCAGCAGACACTATTCAAGTTTTTTACGCATCTTGTATAACTTTTCTTGCTCCTCATCTGGTTTGTGGTGCTATCCATAATAACTTCATAAATAATCCATCTCTGGATAGAACTATCCATCAATAACTGTCTGATACCCAACTTTGTAACTCTGTAGTTTAAAATTTACCAGGTTTTCACGGTTTATCAGCTTTTATCATGGGGAGATTGCAGAAAGCTTTATTTTGCTAAGATATGTGAATTATTTGATATATGTATAGGTCCGAAACTTACAATTGTTTTCATGAGCTAACTAAATGATTACTTCAAGTTACATATCTTCTGTTTAGTTACAGTTTTCTTACCAGTTTGAACATGAATTACTTTCTAGGGTTGGTGCTGTGAATATTTTGCATGAACAGCTCTCGTCAATACTTAGGGGCCGTTTGGTTGACAGAAGGGAATCGGAATGGAATGAACAAAGGGAATGAAATGGAATGGAATGGCAAAGTGGAAAATTTGGAAGGTTGTTTGTTACAAAAACCAGGGAATCATTCCCTCCACCACAGCACCACCACCACAGCGCAGCTCCGACCGTCGCCGAACCCTCACAGACCTCCGCCGACCGTCGCCGACCCATCCCCGAGCATCGCCGACCATCCAGCCCCCATCGCCGACCGTCAAACTCCCTCCCCGATGCTCCAGCCCCCTCCCCGATGCTCGAACTCCCTCGCCGACAGTCGCGCCCCCCTCGCCGACGGTCGCTGACCCCTCGCCGACCCTCCAGTCCCCCTCGCCGACGGTCGCTGACCACCACCGACCACAGCACCACCTCGAACTCCCTCCCCGATGCTCCAGCCCCGCTCCCCGACGCTCGATCTCCCTCCTCCACCACAGCACCACATCGCCGACCACTCCCCGGTGCTCGCCGAGCCTCCCCGACCACTTCCCGGTGCTCGCCGACAGTCGCCGTCCGACCACCACCGACGTATATGGGTGTTAGTGTTAGGGTTAGGGTTAGGGTTAGGGTGGGTGGGGAATGGAATGGGAAAGTGGGGGGGGGGGTGGGGAATGGGGAAGAGGGGTTTTGGGGTATTTTGAAAAATGAAATGGGGGAATGATTGAGGGAAAAAGTGGCAAACAAACAGGTTGAAAGGGAATGATTCCCATTCCCTTTCCTGAAACCAGCGAACCAAACGCACCCTTAGTAGTTTGAGGCAATTAATTTTCTTCTCAAATAGTTTCATTTGAGAAAGAAGTTTTTTTGGCTTTGTTATTGAGCAGTCGTCAGTTCATTATGGCTTTGTTATTGAGCAGTCGTCAGGTTCATTATTGCTTTGTTATTGAGCAGTCTTCAGGTTCAATTGCAGTCTGCCTTGCACTCTTTCAAGCCTGTCAGAGTGTAAGGAGCTTAACACTTCTTTAATATCTTATTAGTACTATAAGTTAAGCATCGGAGGGAATTTCATTATCCCCCCACGTCACTCCCAAGCCTAGCCGATTGCAAAGCTGAAAGACCGTCTCAACAGGGCACAGGTTGCCATTGATGTGCCTCTGTAATTTACTTATCTTGATGCTGTCTTGACTATATAATCCGTAGATTACATCATGAACCATTGCTAAGACACCAAGTTGATAGAATAAGTAGATAAGAGAAAAACCAAGCATTGTTACTTTTTATAGAACTTGATTAAAAAAACAATAAGCCATTTCTACCTTTCATTACAAACTCCTGACCAACATTATTCAGCAATGCATTTTAGATGTGCTGCTATGGTATATATGTTAATACTAGTCCGACACCTGAAGGCATTTGTTCCATAGATTGTCACTCCTGCTATGCATATGGGTAGACCTCTTTTTATCGATTCAACCAAGCACATCATCCACAAGCAAATCATGACAATCCTTCCCCATCCAAATCATCTGCTTACAACATCTGGCCTCGAAATGAATACTAAAGAAATCATTGCCCATTATCTCAACAGCATAATCTAAGGTTACTTTAAATGCACAAACCCAAAATGCTGGGTCAGAGGTAGGCTCTGGGACATAGATGATGTCGGAATCAGGTGCCAAGCCGTTGTCGGGGGCAATGTCAAACTCTAGAATAGTTGCTACAGTTGGGTGTGAAAGCACCACAATGGCCAAGCAGAGCTGATGGCTAGGAACAACTGCGACATTGATCTAAACACCATTTTTCTTTCCCTTGTGCTGTGGAGGATTTTGCTTGGGAATAAAATATAATATGGAAGACCTGTATATAGTGTGGGAGGTTTTCTTTATACAGATTTTGTGGAGTGATGCTAGTATGCTAGGTAAGGGTAACGTTCATTTAGTGGTAAATTTAGAGGTGTGAAAGAAATGTAGGCTTTCTTCACTATTTAAGGCATGCGACTCTTTAATGTACTACATTCATTTGGGACACCAGAAACGTAACTTCTTGCTTTGATGTATAGCTGTTTCTGCTTTCTGTTTTAACATGTTATCAACATGACACTACCCAGGCTAAAGAAGGGGAAAAAAAATTGGCACATTTCCCAGCTGGTCATGGTCAGGGGCTCAGGGCCAGGCGGCCGGCCATAAAATCTGCATTTTGACTTGGCATATCATGGACAGGCCACATTCTGATGGAAAACAAAAGTGCCTAACAGCACTGCCAAAGCCCAGTACTGTAAAATGCATTTAGGTGGTTAGGTCGGTTATTTAGGTAATTAGGTTGCACATCCTTTGCTGCTTGAAATAGTTGCAAATAATTAACAATCAAACTTTGTAGACCACCTCAGATGCAGAATGGATCTGAATGGCATTAGAAACACATCTATAAGTCATGAAAATTAACTATCAGGAACCGAAACTACGAAGACATACGTAGTATTTCTTTCCACGGATAAAATGATGCTCCATAAAAAAGCTTTTTTGTAAGCCATTGTCTATCGTAAAAAACAGTAACCTTAAACCTAAGATTGAAGAGAACAGGGGCCTAACAATCGCAAGTAAAACCAAGCAATGGCGTTCATTATGAGTTAGTGTTGGCAGCTGAAACTATTGCTTGGCGTGACCTTGCAAAAGACGTAAAAAAAAATCATGTATAATTTGGTCATGGGCAGCTGCATAGCATCAGATCGCTGCAGCATTTTTTGCAACCTTGAATTTGTTTAGACCACACATGTAATGCCCAAAAAAATTACTCGTTTGTTAAGACCACAATCTTCCCCTCCATCCAAATTGTTTGAATTATTATGAGATAACACATAATTGCAAGTATTTAAGAAACCAAAATGAAATGAATTGATTAATTCGAGTCTCTTCTTGTTATCCACCCTTCACAAAACACTCTTGTTTTCTCATGAGCAATGTTAGATGTAGTTTCAAAACCATCACAGCCATTCATAATCAAGATTTGGAATGTAAATAGACTTCTTAGTTCAGAAAACAAAATTGATATAGCAGAGAACTCAAGGAAACTTCATAGTTTCTTTTCAATATCAATTACATTTATACAGACAGAATTGGTGAAGGCCACCATGCGAAAACAAGACCATAACAGATCTTAAGTTTAGGAATACTATAAACTATTTTCTAAGTCGTGCACTGCAAATTAAATTCAAGTATTTGTTCGCACAGACTCACACCACAGTAACAGCATCACTTGGGTGGATGAATAATTTGACATCCGTTGGTTACGTAATATCTTCTACGAATTTATGAAAAAATTCTGAAACCAAATCACACAGACAAATCATTCGCTTCAAGGACCATTGACCAATGTCATAATTCTTAAGCTTCCAAACCCCAATATTTTGTGGTTCAATACTAACCAGAAAATATCCATATTTGGTTCAGACAAAAAGCAATTGTAGTATTGTACAAATATTATTTTCCACTCAGAATTCCAACAATTCCAACATTATCACATGAAGCTGAATGAGATGGCCATTGAAGATCCCATTCTTCACTGTAGTAAGGATAATAACGGGCCACACTCTTATCATGATAAGGCATAAATCATCTTATTCATAACTCGGATAAAATACAGAGAATAATCGTGAGAGGTTAAGGCAGAACTACTGGGATAGATTAAAGAATCCTCATCGCAACCTTGAATGTGAAATGCAGAGGAAAGTAGTTCTTCATTCTCCTACATTCTCTTTTACATTGACTTCTACTGGTTGTTGATTAAGCAATAAAATGGGAAGCATATTCAGGTTGAGATATTAATTTGGTCACAACGCTAGCAACTTTCTGACTATTGCCGAAACCTGAAACAAGTTAGTATAATGCAGAGAAGGCAGAGGAAGGCAACCAAGATAAAGATGATCAATTGTTCACATGATGCTTCCAAGACTTCAGAAATTCTATTTATGCTTCAGTTCATCACTCAAATAGATGGTTGATCGATAAATAATTGCAATATATGATATTCTTGACCAACATTAGGCTGTTGCATGAAACACTTATCGCATCTCCATTTCATGAAGAGTAGGAATAACCTCAGCCCACTGCTAGCATGTGTAGCACTTTAGTCATACATTGCCCTCCAATAATTAGAAAATTCAGTCACAAAGGAATCCCGGATGCTGTATATTTCCTCAATCTAAGCACTCAATTATATTAAGGTTATATTCAGAGGCTCCACCATCAAGAATCAAACTCTTAGCTTTGCATATCACATCATCAATTGTATATATACTTTTGGGATTCTGCTGGTGAGACTAATGATTGAAACACTTATATTGAACACTTTCAAGCAGCTCCTAGATGTTAAGTGATTATTTCAGTCAAGAAGATGGAATTCATAGAGACTCATGGTCCTACTCATTGCAGCAACGCTACACAAAAATTCATGTGAATATCTCCTGGCATATCATAGGGAAGAAACCAATTTTTGGCAAGATAGACGAAGTTCAACCGAGATGAAGCAAGTTCAAACTATTATCTAAAAACAGATATCAAGCTTTTGTAAGTTTTTGAACTTGGCTTGAGCCCCATTTTCAACATGTCATCATGAACTTGCATAGCCTTTCTCATATCCTTTACTTGAGACAATCCACTAATCATAACTAAAAAGCTTGCTCTGTTCACCACATTATTACTTCTCATGCATTCAAATATTTTGAAGGCTTCGTCAACCCTATCTTCTGTAAGCAGTTTACGAAGAAGTATATTATAAGTTGTGACATCCCATAATATCTCAGATTTATCCAGCTTATTATGCAACAACAGTGCCGATTCAATCTGACCTGAAGAGCAGTAATGCTTTACTAATAAGCGACAACAAACAGAATCAGGTAATATATCTGCTTGTAACATTATATTCAGTAGGGCTTCTATATCTTTCCAATTTTCTTCCCCGCCCAGCTTCATCATAAACTTGGAAATTCCTGATACAGAAGGGCTAAACCCTTTCACGATTAAATGTATCAACAATTGGTTCACCTTTTCTGATGGAGTTCCCTTGCAAAGACTTTCAACCAATTCTTCATAACAACTTTTATACATCACAACTTTCTCCTTTGAAATTATCTGATACAACCCTATTAGTTCATCTACTCTCCCTCCTTTGCAAAATGCTCTAAGCATACATTCAAATGTTGCATTTTCCAGTCCAACTCCCTCATCCCGTGCTTTATTGAACAAAAATTCAGCAGCATATGATTTTCCCACTTCACAAAATTTCCTAATAACATCATCATACTTCGACGACAGATACTTAGGAAGCAATGCCCTCTCTCTCATAGCGCACATAACCGTGTCTATAACATTAGAATTCCAAAATTTACAAGCTCCATCAAGAATAGAGCCATAGGTGCAAAAACCAGGCTCAAAATTTCTTTCACACATCTCATTTACTTGATCAATTGCAGCTTCAAAGTTACCAATTCTGCTATAACCATCAATCACTAAATCGAAAACAGCCGAATTACAAACACCTGAATCCAATAGCCTAACAACATTCTCAAATTTCCCATTCTTACAAAGAATCCTAGCAATAACAGTCCAAGTACTCGCATTTGGCACAATCCCATTTCGAATCATTGAACCATACAAACAATAAGCTAATTTATACTCACTAGCATGGTCTAAAACATCAAGCACAACATTCACACAACTAGTTTTAGGCAAATAACCATATGATATAATTTCTCTATACACTTTTAAGCCATCAAAATAGAAACCCTTTTGAGCATAGCACTCTATAATTGAACTAAAAGCAAGAGGTCGCAAGTTTGTACCTTTACAAGCTTGAATCATAGAGCGCACAACTTGGGTTGGTGGGTTCACCCCAATGAACGAATCCAAAATGGGTTTAATTGGGTGAGTTTGACCCGACCCGATTAAAATCTGGAAGATTTTGCAGTGGATTTTGAGGTCTGGTTGGAACCCAACAAGATTGGATTTTGCCCAATTGAAGAAATTGAGGGAAATTTGGGGGTTTTCCTGGGTTTTGTGAAGGATTTGAAGGAAGATTGGTGGGGTTAATTTAGGAGAAAGATAAAGGGTTTTGAGAAGAGATTGCCAGTTGTGTCTTTGAAGAAGAATGGAGGAGATTTGTGAGATAAGTTGGCGTTCTTGGGCTTGGATTCTCCAAGTAGATGAAGTTGGTGAAGAGGTTGATGATGTTTTAGCAGAAAATGTTTTGATGAAATGGTAACAATGGAGTGTTTTAGTGAGGGACATTTGTGTTCTTCTGAAGCTTAAGGTTAGAGGATACTAAAAGTAAAAGTAGAGAAAATCCAAGTTTATCCCAAGGGCAATTTCGATATTTCTGACTATCAATTACTCCCTTCGTCCTAAAAGAATGACTCTTTTGACTAAATTTTAGTCCCAAAATGTTTATCCCATTTATATTAAAATACCCTCTAACTTGCAATAATGTTTGTGCAAAATTAGTTTTTCCATATAAATTTTGTTTTTTCTATGTACTTTTATTATTTTCTATATCTATTTTTTTATTTATCTTTTCAATGTACTTTTATTAGAGCAACTCCAAAGGCAAGTTAATTGTCAAATTAGCTTGTCATGCCACATAAGCTTTTAAGCTCAATTGTCATTTTAGCTACTTTGAGCTCCAATGGCTAACTATTAGCTTACTATTTAAAATGAACCCCACCTCCTTAATTTACGTTTTTAAATTACAAATTATTTGTTCTAATTTGTTTTATTTTGCCAAGTTCTTTTCTAAGCAAATTAGCTTGGCAAGGTTAATTTGCTTGGCCAAGCTAATTGCATTTTCTTACTCCAATGGTCAAGCTAGTAGCTAGGGATTATTTAATATTGCAAACAAGTCCCTAGCTACAACCATTGGAGTTGCTCTTAGCTTTTCCTTACACTTGTATTTCCCATTTAAGTTTCTTAATACCCGTAAAAACTCCCCAAAAGGATCATTCTTTTAGGAAAGGGGGGAGTAAAAAAAAAAACTAGGGGTGTTTATGAAATTTCAACATTTGTTTTGCTTTTACTACAGAAAACGGAGAAGTTGGGCATCATTAGCTTTTTGTTTGACCATTAACGGAGATCAGTCACAAATAGGGGAAAGCTCATTTTCAATGGTGAAATTAATGGAGGAGGGAAATAACACTTACCCTTTGGGTTACCATACCCTGAATTATTCCATTTTGTAGGATTTTCGTTTAATTTTGCGGCGAAGCCGCCGTTAATGTTGGTGCCGGTGTAAGAAGGAAGATGAAGATGGTGGTTAAGTTTTTTAGAGGTGGTGGTTTATAGGAGGAAGGATATGGTGGTTATTTCAAGTGGTGATTCATAGGAGGAAGAAGAATATAGCGGTTAGCAAGAGGAAGATGGAGATCTGGGGTATTTACTTAACGGCGTTAATTGACAAACAAAATAATATTTTTAATTTCCAGTTTTTTATTTTCAATTGTTTAATCAAAATCAATGATGTGGCACCATGAGAGATAAACAATTTTGTCTCTCATAGAGAGAAACCTGAGTGCGCTCTTAAAAGTGTGTTTTACAAAGGTAAGTCATGATTTTCATTAACAAATTAAGTTTATCCTTTAGTCACAGTGTCTATCTTACACACAATACATTTTCATTTTCTTCCTCGGTTGTTCATTTCACTTGAATAACGAAAATCATCAATCCAAAAGTGGAATTACAATCCACTACAAGTATGAATTTATTTTTTGTAATTAGTGCAAATTTTAATAGAGCAAGTATCAATGTGTTCATAAACTCAAGACAATGGAGAAATATTGTGAGCATCAATTATAATGTTACAATATCATTTCTCCTTAACTTGTGTATATTGCGATCAATCTCTATAATAACAATTGCATGGTTTAGTTCTTATGTAAAACGAAGAGGAAACTCTTAGATAAATCATTGTACTAGAAACTTCATAGCATGAATCAAGAAAGTGTTTTTTTTGTTTAGCCCTACTTCTGTCCTTAATTAAAGCGTCAGCTAGCACTCAACCACCCCAAAAAAAAAACCAATGCAAAACAATGACTGATCTAAGTCTTTAACAATTTTATTTTTTGGTTAATGAAAATCAAGGTGCAATTTTGTAAATGCTGATAGATGATTTGTTATGAAAGGTCGTGTTCTAAGTTACGTAACTTAATGGGAAAATGTGACTGTACATTCAATTGATCTAATGACATTGTCTAATTTTGGTTTCAAGCAACACTAACTTTTGATTAATTTGAGTCCCTTGCTAAGTTGCTATTATACATTGTCTTATTTAGGGGAAAAAACATGGCAAGTCTTATGTTAGGATGGTCAAATATATTCGGAACCAAAACATACAGATGATACAATGATGCGAAAGTAAAACGATGATAGATTAAACTTCTAGAATTAAAAAAAAATAAAATATATATATATATATATATATATATATATATATATATATATATATATATGAGTCAAATAAATATATAAAAAAGAGTCCATGCCTTTTTTTCATCATATTTTCTTTTTTTATTATACCCCCTCCGTCCCTTTATTCTTGCCCCATTGTCATTTTTAGGGTCAAATTTTAAAAACTTTGACCATAAATTACCGTTAATCTATAAAAAATAATATAGTCATAATTGAACTTGTTAGATTCGTCTCATGGTATATTTTATTAATATCACGTTTTTATAATTTTTACGTTTATGGAAATAAAGATATGGAGGTTTTAAGACACGTGTTGAGGACCGTACACAGTCAAATGGGGCTAAAAAATATGGATAGAGGTTGTATATTCGAAGAGTCCTATAAAAGAAAGGAATCAAAGAATTGTTAGTTCTTATTATTAGCTAGCTGTTAAACCTTTGATTATTTTTTTCTTATTTTTTAAAAGTTACGTAATATATAAATGTGCCTTAAAGAAAAAAGTAGCAAGGTTGCCAATTTTATCATATGATTGAAAAAGAAAAAATGTGACAGCTGTGGGATTTGAACCCACGCCCTTTCGGACCAGAGCCTAAATCTGGCGCCTTAGACCACTCGGCCAAACCGTCTTGATGTTCATAATTATCTCCCTAAATTTATAAATAAGTAGATTATTTATATTCTTATGTTTTAATTTCGTAAGTCAAAACTTTCATATTCTTGTGGACCAATATTTTACTTTGCATTTTGGTCACATGTACTATTATACTGCACAGCACTAATCTTTCATACAATGCACTAGTAGATCATAATTATTATCATGTAAGTAAAGTAATAACAGATATCAAAGCATAGTTAAACTTAGCTTAAATACTTGTATTATTCGCATAATTTTAATTAACACCTTCAGCACCGACACATGGGATAATGGTAGTTGAGATGTCAATGTAAGGCATATCACATGTTGCATTATATTTGATTGAACTTGTTATTTCTTAAATCCTTTGACTTTTTTCTTCTCCCAAAAAATTACAACTATCTTATTTTAAAGTGCATCATAAAATAAGATAGACCTTAATAAGTCAAAAAAAAAGTACAAGAGCGATCAGAGAACTATACTATTTAAAAGTTTTCAACAAAATATCATATACGAAGTATGTGATTGTGCTGTAACTATTTCACATTGGAAAAAATAATAGGGAATGACTATCATATAAGTTTGGCGAATTTGTTCACTTTACCAATTGGATTTAAGGTAATATCATGGTGGTATGGGTGTGTTAGTGTGTAGATTGTTATGTGCGTTGTTTTAGTTATGGTATGTAGATTGTTCCTTGGTATAGGTGTGTAGATTATTTTGATTTAAAAAAAAATAATAATAAATAAAAGGTTATGATGTGTTATTAATTTATTTATTATAGATATTCTAGCGATAATAATTAATGGGGATGTTTATTGTTTGGATTTTTTATCATGCATGTATTAATTGGAGTATTGTTAGGTGTTCTTAATTGATATTAGGTTGTTTCAAAAAAAAAAAAAAAAAAAAAAAAAAAAAAAAAAAATTGATATTAGGTTTATTGTCAATTTGCCTAGCCTAACCCTAAGCAAATTAAAAGACTGTGAGGGATACATCCAACCAACCTAGAAGGTGATGATAGTACACACCACATATGTTGTTATATTACTCCATAGCTTATAAATAGAAATATTAACTTTCATTTTAATAATTATATACTTCCATGAAAATGTATCACCATTAAAGGTTGATCGCCTTTTAAAACTACAATCAAAAAGCTAAAAACTATGTTTATATACGAACAGAGAGAGTATTATTTTGTTTTGTTTGTTCACGAAAAATTGACAATGTAACTATAAGCAACTATGCCAACCAATAATGGAACAATAATCATGATTAGAACTTAGCGTAGGCTTTGCTAATCACATGGTAACTGAACTGGCAAGACTTAGCTTATGTTTGGCAAACCAATTAAAGAAACCATGAAATTATATTGCATTAAATTAAATCAAAAGCAGCTTCATCATAGCTCTATCTTTGTTGGTCCTTATTATATACAAAGTATGCATGTAACCGATGAGCATGTTGGTCATTTGTTATCCAAAGTTATTCCAGCTATACTTTCACCTGTCTCTTATTGGTAACTTGAATTGTCCTTGAGACAGCCAGAAGACAAAACCTTTTGGGTTACAAACTTAATTGGATTCTTTAATTTTTGATTAATCTCTTTAACACATGTAATTAGGACTCCGTACATTGTTTGTTTTGAAGATTAAGAACTTTAATTTATCCTTTCTCAAAGTGGATGAACTACTTAAATGAGATTAAAAACATATGATAGATCTAACCAAAGGTTCACTTTATGCTCGATATATTCTCCTAATTTTTATACAAGTACATACATCATTAGGCATTAGGCAATTTTTTTTGTAAAATGTTAAATTTATAGTAAGTTTAGACAGTAAAACTTGACTCTGAATATGTAAAAAAATACTTTAGAAATATATGACTCAATTACGTTGTATTTGAAGAGAGTATCTTTTAACTAAGCCAACAAAATATATAAATCTCAAGTGAAAGTTTATTCAATGATGATTCTCTTGATAGCTTATAGCATTTTGTTATGCTTTGGGATATTGAAGACTTGTAGCATTTTTATTTATGCGTTGGAATGAAAACATAGACCAACCTCTTTGCAAAAGAATAAACTAATTTATCCTAACAAATTACAGTTTAAAATGTAGATTATTAGAATCAAACTACATGGAAGAGGATGTGCAATTGTACTCAAATTTAACCAATTAAACCAACAATT